TTTATGTCTTTAAGACATTCCTGCAGTTTAACTAATTGGTGTGTGTTATCTGGCTTCATGGACAGATAGAGCTGGGTGTCATCTGCATAGCTAACTAATCTACATTCACACACATTCATACTCCGATTAATGCATCGGAGGGCAACTTGGGGTTAGTATCTTGCCCAAGGATATTTGGCATGCAGACTGGGGAAGCCAAGGATCAAACCACCATCCTTTCAATTAGTAGCTGATCTGCTCTACCACCTGAGCCACAGCCACCCAAGCTTACAGCACCTGGTATTCCCAGGCAGTACTAACCAAGTACTAACCAAGCCCAGCACTGCTTAGCTTCTGAGATCAGACGAGGTTGGGCGTGCTCTATGTGGTATGGCTGTAAGCACTATGAAAACAGAGCAGGTCACGTATGAAACAGAGGTCACGTATGAAAACAGACCAGGTCATCAAGAGTGCACCTTATAATCAGGTGCGCCTTATAGTCTGAAAAATACAGTACAAACAGTTTTCAGGTTTAAGCCCTATGGGAGTGTCCCCAAGGGAGACACCCTCTACATAATTACACAAGCCACGGTGTGAAAATGGGTGTGGGTCACAATCCATCAAGGTTTCGGGTGAACCTATTGTGAAATCAAATGGCCCTGGATCTGAGTAGACGTTAAGTCGCCTCAGAAGGGATCTCAAAACTGGATTATAGATGGCAGACAGTTGGTGTCGTAAAGATAGCCAGGAAATTTGGGTGAAGAACTTTTCGGATAGGAATTTCACTGAACCTGAAAAGAAAGTGCTGGCCAAAGGACTCCATTTTGCCATTTTTCCTCTTGGTGAGGAAGGATACTGGCCAGACCTGGTACACTTAAACATATAGTGAGGGTGCAGTGGAAATGCCTAGCAGAGGCCCTCGTCCACAAGATCTTCAACTCCCCCCTCAAGCAGAGCTTCTACAGCATTCCGAAGGAGACTGGGGACATTGAGTCATAATGGACTGTGTTCAGTACCTCCACTGCTAAGGCTACTGCACTGAGCTATGGCTGCAAGGTGGTTAGTGCCTGTCACATATCACATCTTCTGTGAAGGGAGCAGAGTGTGGGGAAGAGGGAGATGACTTATGCATCACTGGAGGTCAGGTCACTGAGGCAGTTAAACAATTCCTTGGTGGCACGGCCCCTGGGGTGGATGAGGTTCGCTCTGAGTTCCTCAAGGCTCTGGATGTTGTAGGTTTGTCTTGATTGGCACAGGTCTACAATGTCAGGTGGCAGTACCTGAGAACTGGCGGACTGGGGTGATGGCTCCCATCTTTAATAAGGGGAACCATTAGGTGTGCTCCAACTATAAGGAGATCACACTCCTCAGCCTCCCCATCAAAGTCTATGTCAGGGTGCTGGAAAGGTGAATCGCAGTCCATTAGATCCCATTAAGATCTGTTATGTTTTGAGAATGTTCCTTTAATTCTGTACATCACTAAGATTAATCATAAGAGCTGATATTGTACATCTACTACTGCTTGTCAGGTTAGGGCTGTGTGCAGGCAGGAATAGGACCCAAAGTGCAGACTCACGTCAGGCAAAAGTGTATTTCAAAACTCAGCTTTTATTGCTGGATCGCAAAACGTAACAAAAAAAATCCAAAAATCCAAATAAACTTACATGAGCAGGCAGCCAGAACACACAGCATAAATGAAGGTAGACCACAACACAGACACAGAGAAACACAGGGCTTAAATACACAGGGGGAGCAATCAGGGAATGGGTAACAGGAGGGAAACACAGCTGGGGCAAATCAGGCCTAACGAGACAGAGGAAGCAAAACTAGACGCATATACATGAGAAATGGACTTTCAAAGTAAAACAGGAAACATAACACAGACTGAACTAAAGACACAGACTCACATGCAGGCACTGCAACAGAGGGAACAGAGACATGGGACCAGGGCAGACAGACATTGACTGGACACGGGGATATAGCAACTAAGGATACACAGAGACGCGAACTAGACAAGGGGATACAGCTGACAGGGGAGACAGAGCAACTAGAGAAGACAGAGACATAAACCATAAGACAGAACTCAAAGAAACCAAAGACTAGAAATGATAAATAATATAATAAACTCAAAAACCCTGGGTCAACGACCCAGGCATCCTAACACTGCTGCTTTGAAAGAGAAAGAAGAGAGGATCGCTGACTTGCCACAACAGTCCTTCCTCTGCCTCAATGGATGTAGATCTCATGAGGGGATGGTGACACCTTCCTAAACTCCCATAGTTCTCCCAAAGTCCGTAATATAACTCAGTAGAGTGAGCCTGGAAGAATGGGTTTGTTGTTTAGTGCTCTGGCACTCCTCATTTTATTATCCAACTGCAAACCTTTGGTATACTAATTTCTTCAAGATGATTTGTCTGTTCACAGCAAGGTCTGTGACAGCAACAGTCCATTAATACAAAATCACCCATTTTTATAGTCATTTAAAAATTCTACTCCCCCTATTTCCCCTCCTGCTAAGATCATTCTTGATGGTACATGTCTCCTGTTGTGCCATATATGATGACACCTGCTGACTTCCCGTTTACAGCATTACTGCATTTCTCTCATTTAGACAAATTACAGAATCATTATTTTTAATCATTTTATTGCATCTGTTAATCCTAAATACTGCATTTTTTAAAATCACCGGTATTGTAATTTCATGTGTATATATTTTGGAATGCTGTACTTTATCAACTATCTTGGGGCTAGATATTAAGTCCCTCATTTAGACAGTGCTAGGTGGATGAGGCCTTGGGGTTTTCAAGCATACTTCATTATCTATCAAAAATGGTGGAGGTTATGTTATGGTAAAGCATGACTGTTTGACAGTGGAATCAGGTCATTAGTATTTATTCAAGCTATGACTGCTGATATACGTAGCAGGATGAATTGTGAAGTATAAGCAAAGCAATCCAATAGTTTCTCAAGGCAAAGGAATGTAGTATACCTCAATTGCCAAGTCAGTTACCCAATCTCAACTCAATAGAACTAAAAAGATGCCTTTAGTTCTTAAGCACAAAACTACAGGCAGGAAAGCATTTCAAGCAAACAAGCAGGAACTGAAGATGATCACAGAAAAGGGTTAGCAGAGATTTCCAAGAAAAAGAAAAAGTGGTATGGACATCACCAAATGTTGATGTCCGTGGGTTAATGTAAAAATCTTTGTAAAAACCCACTGAGTTAAAGTATGGAGAATCAAGGCTGAAAGCGTGATTGATTGATTGATTTAAAAGGCACTGTGGTTGTGTGCAGAAACTAAACTACGAGAAATGTGACTCTACAAGTGGTCACTATCATATCATTGTTCTTTTGCCATTTTCTATTAATAGCATTCTTTGAGCGTCAGCATCTATTGTCAGAGCAAAGAAGTAAAAGCAAACGCAAAAATATGTCAGTTAGTACACTACTGTCACTATAAACATAGGTTATTGAGATTCAAGATATTCAAGACAAAATATGACTTTGCTTATACTGTGAGGCTGTGATTACAGAGTGTGAATAAAATTACTATTGAAAGCCTGTCAAAGGTGCAATTTTAACAGGTCAAATAATCATGTTTGCACTGTTATAATGGATAATAATGGATTGCATTTATATAGCGCTTTTTGAGACCCTCAAAGTGCTTTACAATTCCACTATTCATTCACTCTCACATTCACATACTGGTGGAGGCAAGCTATAGTTGTAGCCACAGCTGCCCTGGGGCAGACTGACAGAAGCAAGGCTGCCATATCACCAGTAGGCGGTAGGTGAAGTGTCTTGCCCAAGGACACGCAACGACCAAGACAGACAGAGCAACCGGCAACCGTCCGGTTACAAGATGAGCTTCCCAACCCCCTGAACCACGGTCGACCGAATGTCAAGGACAGGGCAAAATAATCAACAGAGGGGAAGCTCATGAATGCCTTTGTGTGGGTTAGCAGGTCTTTTGTATATTATTAAACTAGTGAGACTGTGAAAGCTTCCATCATGTCAACTGTTGTGACACACCCATTTGAAGTGCTGATAAATGTATTTGTCTTGAAAGTGGACAGTGGTATTACTATGTGTGGGGCAAGAGCCGTGTGGTCATTAGCACAAAGTCTCTGCACGATGTAGCTCACTGTCTTTTAGTATTTGGGAAGTATTTTATGTCTCTTTGTCTTTCTGTTTTTTCCCCTCTGCTTAAGAACCTTTTATACCTCTATTCATAACAGGTTTTAACTCTCACACAGTATTCTTTGTTTGGTTTTAGGGGTTTTTTTTATTAGGTTTTATGGTCCAAAGTAAAGAACATGTTGTCTAAAACTTGCTGCTGTTAGTGTGTGGTTTAATACAACCTCAGAAAGTTAACAGTAAGTGTAAAGAAACTGTTAGGACTAAATCCCATCTTACATTCGGATTCAGACAGTGTCTACTTCTTAACTGATATTTTCTAATAACTTTGTTTTATGTGATTTAGCTTAAACTAAAAGTTAATTTAAAATCTTCTCTGACTGACAACAACATAAAAATGAACTTGTCCATGAGGGGAAATTGCCCCAAAAAAAGAAAGAAAGAAAAGAGAAGAGAATCATAAAACCATGTGTTTTTTTTCCTTTCAAAGAAGAATATAATTCTAGTTCTAACAGGAACAGAGGACATCACCAAATGCTGATGTCGATGTAAAAGTCATTGGAAAAAAATGCACTGAATGAAAGCTGATGTAAAATCATAGCTAAAAGGCTGCACTCCAATGCTGATTGTTTGGTTTAAAAGACACTGTGGCAGTGTGCAGAAATATGACTATAACAAACATGCCTGTCCAGCTGAAAAATGTTACTCTGTAAATTGTCACAATTATTCACACGTTGCTCTTTTTGTGATTTTCTATTGATAAAGTTCTAGAGCATTCTTTGAGTATTAGGCCCTTCTGTCAGACCAGAGAAGTAAAAACAGGTCAGCCAGTACACTATACTGTTGCAAATAAAGAGAGATTATCTTGGCTATCTCGTTTTAGTTTGTACTCAATGATTCAGACCACAGTTAATACATGAAACAAAGATTCAAGACAAAATATGACATTGTGCAAGACTGTGAGGCTGAGATTGCACAGTGCAGATAAAATTCTTACTGAAAACCTGTCTGAAGGGTTCTTGTGCAATTATTTGTAAATGACTAAACGTTGAGATTCCAAGTACATCAGGTTACAGTTTATTCACTTAGAGATTCATCATAGTTTCGTTGTGCATGTACATCGAAAATCAAGGGCTATTTTATTCTATTCTGTATCTGATCAACACAAAGCTTAGACTTCATTACCATCACAAAACAGCCGCACCATCACAGATGTAGCCGCGCCAAAAAGAAAAACAGTGAAACACACATCAGGGACAAGAGGAGAAAAAAAGAACTCTACTCGAACTGTGCTCCTAACTGGGAAACCAGCTTGAGGTCAGTAAAAAAACACCTCAGCACAAAAAAAGCACACGAATATTCACATTTACACCATGTAAAGCACGTGACATGCATCGGAGGCATTTGGGGTGGGTGAGGGTGGGTGAGTGCGTATCTGTTTCAGTATACACGCATGTGTATGTGTGTTCTATGTTCAGCATGAGAGTGTCCTTTCACCCAGTTAAGTGAGAGTTAACAGTACCCATCGTACCCTAGAAGGATTTTTTTTTTTTTTTGGGATAGAGGACAGCGGAGTATGATTAAAACAAAATGCAAAGGTCAGTTTCATATTCTGCTTCATAGTAGTAGTCTTTACTCTCCCCACTTTCTGTGTTCAGAAATGAGAGTTACAGTGAACCAGATTGAAATTTCAAGTATTATTTGTAATGTTTTTATTTTATTCATATAAAAGCTGCTAAAGGTCAAAGAAATGCAGTGAACTATTACACTAAACTGAATAAAGGAAAAGGACTTACTTCTGCAGGAGCGTATTCACATGCTTGTTGTTGTCATATTTATTTGGATAAATTTATTTACTATGATTAAAGGCACAGCTTTCTGCAGGCAGCTGCTTTGCTGCTTTGTCACCAGCAGGTTGGAGGCCTCATCAATGACCATGATGTGTTATTTTATTATGTCAAATAATCTTATTTGCCCTCTTATTATCAAATATTAACATTCACATCCTTTTGTGAGCCAGCACTCATAAGTCCTCGGCTAGAAGCATTATAAAATTTCCAACATAAATAAATAAAGAAGTGACTTCTACAGCTTGGCCGTCTGTAAGAAAAGCTAATCAAATTAATCAAATGAGACAGATTACATCCATAAGGGAATACTCAGAATGTCAAATATCTGTAAGCCTATATAAGTGCCTTTTAACCTCTGCAGTATCTTAATTATATCTCAGGTAATTTGATGACATATCTTTTAATTGGATAATCACAAACATTTGAGCATTACCGTTTCTGTTTAACCTATGTTAAGGGTTCAAATATTGAGGAGGGATACAGGAGGGATTCAAAATCACAACACTGGTCCAGGAGGGTTAGGTCAAACGATGATTTTAATGAACACACGTGTGGGGAGATGTACACTGTCACACACTCAGCGTCGATCTCCGCCCAATAATACACAAGCAGTTGTTTTTATAGCATCAGGGTATTATTTATGACGCCCCCTCATGCGTCAAGCAGATACAATACATGCCTAACTTCCAAAACCACAAATGTTCTGGTAACGACTTTTGACACAGTTTGAAAATAACATTTTCTTCGCTTCCAAGCCAGGTGCTTCATGTAGCTCATCTCACTCTTGCTTCTCCAAAACCTCAGATGCATGCTCTGCAACAAAACTGTCAATTCTGCAGGCCCTCTGTTTCACCTCTCACCTCGCCTACTAAAACTCACAACCAGACAGAGGCCACTCTCATATGTGTAACAATCTAACTAAAACTATATATGTATATATTGAATAAATAAATGCTTTAATTAAATGCCACTACTCAAAGCTTAATAAAAAAGAATATAAACGAATAAAAGATAATAATGAATAACCTGGTTATTCAAATAGCCTCGTCCAGACAGCTCCTCAAAATAACCACCAAAAAATGCACACTTTACAGAGGAAACAAAGACATTTTAGAAGTACACTTCCTGACTTATTCTGAGTCATCTGTTACCAAGCAAACTCAAACGCAGCAGGTTGCTGAATACACTCAGGCCTTTATTCAGGCCTGTTTCTAGATTATATGTGATATATGTATTGTAAGCGTGTATGCAATCCTTCCATAGCTCTAAGCCCCTTACACGATAGATTGGCTGGACATATCGCCAGCCAAAGCTTTTGACCTTCAATTAATAGACTGAGCCACAATTCTTTTATAGTCACAAAATGCAACGTGTATAAAATGATTACAGTTGCACCTGCAATGAAAGATTATTATATGATTATGCTAACACCTGAAATACAGACTTTAATGTAATATCAACAGCTCCAATAAATGCTTTAATGCAATGCTTGTTATGTGGTTCTAATGCAATAATAATGACTTAATGCAAGGTTAATTAATACAATGATAATACAGATAATAAGTAACAGTGAAATAATTTGTTTTATCCCACACCTACTTTACACTTTTAATCAAGACTATATTCAACTCCATACTCAAACAGGTTATACACTCGAATGTTCCTGTAACTAAAAATAGTATTCATAGATTCATGGGATTCTTAGATTCCTTATCTAGGTTTTAGATAAGTGACAGATTAGCAACCGTTACAATATGTGTCATTTTACTCATACTCTTGATGTCACACTAAGATGCACAGATAAAACAAAACCAGTTTGTGTGGGTGTTCTATGGAATTCATCAGCTTAAGGGAGGCACAAATATAAGAGGAATGATTCAGAGCACACACATACACACACAAAGCACACTCAGATACAGCCTAGAGTTGAAACAGAAAACACACACACACTGAAGAAGTGCTAAAGACTGAATCCGACAAAACTACCTAAGAACGACCTAAGAACGGTTCACACAGGTAAGATGGACAGTGAAACCTTTCTATAGTGTATCATAGAATTATTTTGTTGGCATGTTAAACATATGTTGTACCATCTGTTTTTTTCCTAGTATCCCATTTGTTTTTTCTATATTATTTTCAATATTAATGAATGGAAGTAAATGACCAATGCATTTGTATCAATCATTTTACAGGTCCAGTATAAAATTATCATATGTTGTAGTGCTTATGTTAATAGCGTTAATCTGTTTAATAAAATATCAAACATGATTATTTCCACTTACTTTCAATGTGTAATAGTTGCACTGCTTTACATTAACTGCAAAGGCAGTCTCTGTGCTTGATCATATCCTTTTTGTCCCAAAAGGTTGATTCTGTTCAAACTGTCATGACCATTGATGAGAATGGTGTAAACATTCATGGGGAGTTTCCATCAGGATTTCTTTTTCTTTCAGTATTACCATCCGGCCTACCTGCTCGACTATGACTACCAGGCAGTCAGTGATGCTTCTGGTGGTGCTGGTCCTCTCCCTCCCAGGTCCTATTCATAGCTTTGACCCACTCTCCAACTCAAATTCATTCACCCACCGTAAAATCACACAAATAGCAGTCCTTCGAAAGACAGCAGAGGTCTGCCGAGATATTGCTGCTTCTAAAGGACTGGACTTCAATCTGATTGTGAGTTAGACTGACAAAGAAACACAGCAAGAACAGTGATACATCTGTGCTTCGCTTAGTGTTTAACACTAACGAAAGAATATATGTTATTCTCATTCTAATGTTGTTGAGTGGAGAAATATATCAGTCAGCCACAACATGAATTACATTTTTCTTCGTACAGTTCAGTGTTGTGCTATAAAACCTCGTGTCCTACTATTCATGTTGGTGTCACTTTGAAACATCCACCCGCATACATAATAAGAAAGATTCTGTTGGATTGTGCTCAAGCAAGCCCAGTCAGCAGAGGCCACACTGCTGACAGTGGTCTCTGACCCAAATTAGTGGTGTCACCAGTGGGACCTGCACTTTATTACTATGTACTATATTACGCACAAACTACTTAGCTGGTCATAATTGCTGATGATGAGATAAGACTACTCTTACCTTTAGCGCAATAGTTAGTACCAATTTTGGTTAACATGCGAATAACATATTTAAGGAGTTGTAATATACAAATTTATTGTCTCCAGATTGATAACAACTTGTCAGCTGGCAAGGTGCAAAGGGCCTGTTCGTCTATGGATACCTTCACATCTTTCGTTTCCACCATCAAGTTTGAAACTGCCATTGCTTCTATGTACCTCAGCAATGCAGCAGTGGACGCGATTTTTCTGCTGAGTGCAGCGCGCCATTTTGACGATGAGACCTTCCACAGAGGACGGGATATCATCACTGAAGGTACCTCAAAGCTTGTCAATAATAGTTTAATAATGAAAATAATAATGTTATACTATGTATAACTAACTCATGTGAATACAGATCTATAGAATTCAACAGCCTAATGAAGAAAAGTGTTTAGAATTAGGGTTTGGTAAATAACAGAAAATCAAAAAACAAAAACAGAAATCTAGAAAGAATTTTTGTAACATTTCTCATTTCAACTAGGTTTGTAGCAATTCCCACAAAAGTCTTACATACTTGAAAGTTCTATATCTAGGGAAGGAAAGTGATGTTACAGATTACTTCAGTATTCAACAAACAAGACTTGTTTGTCAGTTGGAACTGCCAACTTCAATCAGAAATCTTGCAGAATAACAGCTTCAACACTCACACACACACACACTGTAACTCTGCTTTGAGTGGATAAAGACTGGTGATGTAATGCTGTAATTCAGGTTTTGCAGTGAAGGCTACACTATTGCAGCTTGTGTCTAATTCTTGTATTTTAATAATAAGGTGCATCTGTGGTGAAGGCGCATGCTAAGAAAGAAAACTATCACAGAGGGAGGTGGTCTCTAGGGCAAATCTGTCACACTCTACAGGTACCGATACTTAATTTACTGCTAATTTGTTAAGACTGCTAGATGACAGCATTGTGTAATTAAAACAAAATTCAAAGGTCATATTCTAAATTTGTTTCATTTTCTGTATATGAAGGACTTCTACAGCCACAGTAACTGGGTGGAGCTGGGAAATAAAGCTCCATACAGTGCTCTGATCAGACCTGACCAACCTCTTAAGAACTTGGCAGGTAGGCGCCCTCCCCCCACTGTCTGTGTTTAGAGTTGAGAATTCCAGTTTAAATATGATCTAGATTAAATTTGTAGTAGTATTTGTAATGTTTATTTTCAAAATATAAATCAATATTTTTTTCTTATTTATTTGATATTTCTGCAGGACAAAATACTCCAACTTGCAGAAGTTGTGTAGGAGGGAACTGTACTAACAACATTCTGCCTGATGTGCTGAACGAGGGACTTCTGACTTCAGGCTACTTTAGCATCATCTCCTCATCAAAACCTACAGGTAACTTAAAGAAATCATCTCTTTTGATATGTTATGATAAAGTATTTGTATGTTTTCAATATCTCTTGATAAAATGATAAAATGTTATCCCTGTTCAAAGGTAAATGCAGTCACGGTGGATTCTTTGACCACACAAGCAGGAGGGATCCAGTGGGGGGCATCAATAAGGATACACTTGATTCCAGTCATGGCTTCCGTCACAATGAAGCAGCTAATCTGGCTATTCGTGCCACCATGGAGCTTCTGGAGGACATCAGATTAGCAGCTGGAGACACAAACTTCATGAGGTAAAGCTAGTTCTCAAGTGTCACACAAGAGAAAACAAATGTGGGGAAAATGGAGCTGAAGCACATGATAAAAATAAACACTTAAATATTCCTGCGCCTCTTGTTTTTACGGAGCCCCGCAGTGGACATGGGAGAAAAAAAAGATTAAGACGGACTTTTGCGAGATCTTGCAAAACTTTTGCGAGATCTCGCAAAAGTTTTAGCCACATTCTTCGGAGGCCGCCAGCTCAAAGCCGACCGGGAGGTCGAGGCACGATGTGCCGGGAAAGCAGTGTTTCTCCCGGCTGTAGTGGGTCTCGACCTCCCGTTAGCTTCGAGATAGTGGGTGTCAGATCAAACGTCTGAGCACTTTTGCAAATATGTGATGTCTTGTAAACCGAGCAGGTATCTTACGTTTACACAACTACATTCACGCCTCAAAATATCTTAAAAGTGTATTTTGTGACCCAGAAAGAGTAATATTACAACTAAGTAGCTGCCGCCATTGTTGGAATTCAACTTTTGCGAGAGTTTCCCGAGTTTGTTTTGCGAGATCCCGAGTTAGTTTTGCGAGATCTCGCAAAACTTTTGCGAGAAAGTTGCAAAAGTCCGTCTTAATTTTTTTTTCTCCCATGTCCTCTGCAGGGCTCCGTATGCTTTTTATTGAATTGATCATCATTTTTAGATTAGATTTAGATGAGCGGGATTAAAAAAAATTGGTTTGTCTGAGGTATTTCTGTGCATGGAGCTATATTTTTCTGCATCTCAAATACAGACGTTGACTGCCACAATTTCTGTTTCAGTTTCTAGTGGCCTTTTTATTAGGTTCAAAGTTAGCTGACAGAGAAGTGTCAGAGCTGTGGTCTTCTGTTGCTGTAGATAGCCTACTTCAAGGTTAGAGGTGTTGTGCATCCAGAGATGGTCTTCTACATAGTGAGTGGTTATTTCTTTCTTATTCATCTAAAGCACTCTGGTCACCGGTCTCTTGTAACCTCTGACATCAACAAGACATTTTCACCCAGAGAACTGCAGCTCACTGGATATTACTGTCTCCGTAAACACTGGAGATGGTTATGTGGCAAAATCAAAGTCGATCAGCAGTTTTCTGCAGCACTCAGACCAACTTGTCTGGCAGCAACAACTAAGCCACATTATCTTAAATCTTCCTCTCCTTTTCTGATGCTCTGTCATGGTTTGGCATGGCAGACCGTGGGGATGTGGGGAAGGAGGACCCAGGCGCGGTGCTCTGTGTATAAACAGTGTGTTTATTTACAGTGTGTGGAAATAACAACAATAGATCCCCATGCTTTCCCCAGACTCCCGTGTCATGTCTCTCCGTGAACAGTCGGTGTCTCAGTGCTCTCCACTCCCGTGTCTCAGCACTCCTCATGCTGGCTGCTGTCTGGCGCTCTACACTTCTCCTGGGGACACAATAGAAGCAGCCGTCAGGACACATACAACCGCGGGCATACACACACACTAACTAGGCTCAACTGGATGACTAACGTAGAGTCTCACGCAATGATCCCACACCGGTGGGAGCTCCAAGACTCTCTTAAGTAGCTCCCCCGACGAGGCCTGATCAGCAGCAGGTGCATGGCTTCGGGTGTGGCCAGTCTGCCAGCAGGGCCTGCTCTCTGGCAGGTAGCTCCATGCCCTCCTGGGTTTTAAATGCACCTTAGAACACACATGCATCAACAGTACAATGAGCGGGTGCAGGGAGGTTAGGAGTCTTCTCTCAACCCCGTTCTCTGCGGCCTGCTGAAGCGGGGGGCCTAGGAGGAGGAGTTGGCCGTCCGACTGGGGTCCGGAATGTGGGGCCTCCCTGCTGCTGCGGAGTCGGGGCGGTCTGCTTCTCCCCACCGCAGGGAAATGGGTA